GACCAGCGCCTTGCGGTCCAAGCATAGCCAACCCGACCCACTCTACTCGGGTGGTGGTGTGTATACCCGCACAGTGCGCTGCTGGCCTACCCGGCAGGCTCCGTGTGCCCCACGCACCAAAGGCATCACTGCGTGCGTATGTTAGTGTGAATGTGTGCGTGTGTTTGTTTGTTTGTTTGTTTGTTTACTCGCGCTTCGCGGTCAGAAAAAAAAGGGGAAGGTTTTAGGTCTGGGTGAAAGGGAAACAAGCAAAACAAAAGTTGCTTAGTTCAAGTACCGAGAGTTTGGCGAGGTTTCTGCTGTGGTTTTTTTCCTTCTCTTCCTTTTTTATTTCGCTTTTCTTGGGTCCGGTCGCGAGGCATTCCCATTAGTATCCAAGTCAGGTGCGCGACGGAGAGAACACAAGTACGGGCTGCTGCTAGCAGTGGACTGGAACAGCGCCGTATTTCGATATGTCGATACGGTCTCTCCGATTCTCTCGCTCTCTCTCTCTCTTCCTCACTCTCGCTCCCTCTCTGTCTCTCCACGCCCCACTTCCTACACCCATCCCTCCTAGTGCAGGACCGTATGCCGCAGGCATACATATTACTCCTCCTCATCCATGACTCTGTCCGCTGCTGTTTCTATCCCCCGCCTCCCCCCTCTCTCTCTGTATCTCTCTCGTCCATTCTCTGTGGCCCTCTCTTCTCCCATTCACAATGCGCCTCTCCTAATGCCCCCTCCCTCGTTTCTTTTTTTGTCGACAGCGCCCAACTTTGTCAACTCGATGGCCCATGGCGACTTCGTGTACTTCTTCTTCAGGGAGACCGCCGTCGAGTACACCAACTGCGGCAAGGTGAGTGTTGTCTCTCTCGCTGTGCATGCTTCTCCTCCTTCCTGCTGACGCTGCTCCGTCTGCTTTGATTTTCGCGAGCATCGCGACCTCTTTGCCGCCGCTGCTGTAGCGGTCGCGAGCAGGCGCAAGACTCTTCGAAATGACTGCAGAGCTCATGCCCCCCGCCGGCCGTGGCAGACTGTAAGTGAGCGTCGCGAGGATGTTTCTCCCGGACATCTCTACCGCCCGCCCCGGGGGCGTAAAGAGATCAAGCAGGCTTTAGCGGAGTTGCTCCGGAGACTGCTTTATGTGAATATTTAAATGTCCCGCCGGGCCGCCCCGGCCCCGACTCTCGTCTTCTCGGCCGCCCCCTCATTATTCGCCGACATACAGCCTCTGGTCGGGTCTGGTCGTGGAACCAGCTATGGTCCTGGAACCCCTGCAGCGGCCCCGCCGCCCCGCCCGCCGCCCCGGCCCGAACTGCGCCGGCCCCGGTGCTGCCCGCCTGAAATATTCACAAAGTCGGAGTGTCCGAAATTAGCAGCGGCCGCTGCCACGCCCCGTCCCACCCCGACCCGCCCCGCCACGCTGCGCCAACCCCCGCCCGGGCACTCTCGACTGGGCGGGCTCCGCGGGAGGGAGCACCGGGGGCCCTCAAGTT